AGGCCCCCCAACCTGGCAACCCGCCAGCCTAATCTCGTTAAAATCTCTCCCTGCCTGATGCCATCCAGGGAGAGAGGGGGAGATGGAGGAAAGGATGCAAGGGTTGGGAGAGGAAACAAGCAGAAAACAGGGGAGAGGAAAGCAGTGAGAGTATTTAAGATGGGTTCTCATGAAAGTACGAGGAGAGAGTAAAAGAGAACGAGAGGGGGCTGCAGGGAGGGCAGGGAGAGGAATTAAGGAGACTCTTAGTTCAAAAGGGCTCCCAAGAGCCAGCTCTTAAGCCCACGACGTGAGGCGAACCGCAGAAACCATTTAAGCAAAGGAGGGGGGGGGGGGGGGGGGGCTGAGAAGTGGTGTCACAGCTAAAAGAGAAAGATATATCTGGAAGATAGAGTAAGAGCAAGTAGAGCTTAAAGCTCTTTGTGTGTATATGTATCTCCACACTGCATTCACAGCCTTGGCTCTAATGAGGAGCTAATTAACCGGGTGTTACCCCCGGTGCCCTGAGCAGGTGGCTGGAGCAGCCAGGCGGAACTCAGCCCAAACATACAGACACACACACACACACACACACACACACACACACACACACACACACACACACACACACACACACACACACACACACACACACACACACACACACACACACACGATGGCAGGAGCCCATATAGCAGAGCCTGCTTGGGCAAGCGGGTAAGGTACCCAGGGGATTGGGGGGGGGGGATCCAGAGCTTGGGCCAACCTGGGCTAAGAGGGTAGAGGTGGTGTTGGTGGGAGAGCGGCACTCCATATTTGGAGGACCAATTTTAGCCATGGGATTTGGGTTTTGCACAGGCATCCAAAATCAATTGGCTGTGCTTACTGGCTTGGCTTTGGTTGAGCTGAAGGAAAAATGAGGTTAGATTTCTCCCTGACATATGGAGGGGAACAGAGAGGAGGTGCACTCCACAAACACACACGCATTCTATTTGTTGAGTGCAGTCTTTACAGGCCAGTGTGTGAGTGTGTTCAGAGCACATTTAGTTGTTGATGCACCTGTAATGAAAGCTGGAGGCAAAGAATGTCGTCTCCTGTCAGTCTAACCTGCCTAAAATACTCGAAGTAAAGGCTGAGTATATCAAGCAGTTATTTCAGAAATATAGGCATTTAGATGTATTCATGGCACGATTATTCTCTTATGTCATACTTTCCAAGGGGTTTCTTGCTCCTCTCCCTTCATCCCTTCATTGTCTCCACATTTGCCAAGCCTTTAGTCTATGTTTGTTGTTTGATTTCCACGACAACACCAGGAACCAGATTTACTCATCCTTGAATTGGACACTGACCCATAAAGGAGCCGCATTCACTTGAGGATCACTGCTCCTTTCCTGACTTTCCACCATCCACAGAACTCCATCTTTTCCCCTCCAACAGACAAGAATTAGCGAGTGTTTCTGCAGAGCACCAGTGAGGCTTTGATGTGTTAATGAATTGAAAAATGGCCTTCAACAGTGTTCAGTTATCCCCGCTGAGCTTAATTTGGGTGGGTTGGTGGGAAAGGGGGCAGGGTGGGGCTGCTGCTGTGGTGGTGGAGGGGTTGCAGGTTTGTAAAGTGTGTGTGCAAGCACTTCAAAACAAACCCATAAACATTCCAGGATCCTTGGGCAGCTGCAGCTCAGAGTTGAAGTTAACTGCGCACAGCATGTGAACTGTAGAAAATAAAAACAAATACAAATAAAAACACCTACTTATTCATGATACCTTTAGATCCAGTTTTCATGCATGTTTTTTTTTCAGTCAGAAACTTGCTTATTTTCAGTGTCACAAAAATCTGGCTGCAGTTTGAGCCATTTCTGGGAAGCACTGTTCCACATGCTAAAGCATTTCAAAAGGTTAAATTCTGGAGCTTTCCTTACATTCTCCACACTTGAACATATCCTCTCTGACTTCAGACTTTGTCGGCCGATCTTATTGCACAGCTGTAAACGGAGAAGATGCCATAAGAGGGCCGTTTGGTACTTCAGCAAAGGAGAAAATGTGATCCATGGCTTTCATGTCCTGCTACAAGGTGTTAATGGACACAAGTGCTCACAGCTGTGTGTGTGTTTGAGACGCTTGATCATAATCACAGACTCCCACCTCGTTCTCCCCCCTCTCCCCGGCAGCCCCAGCTTCTCACCGGAGCTGGTGTGTTCTCTGTCACATCACCCTTTAGAAGAAGTTGTCAGTTGTTCACACACACGATATCCAAAAAAACATAAACGCATGCACAGATACAAGGAACCAATTAAAACCTGGAAAATATCACTTAGGAAAAAGAGTCTTGAACAAGCTCAGTTTGCAAGCTTCCTCCAGCTTTGCCATGCCATCTCCACACTGCCTGCACCTCTCTTCAGGCATGGTCAAACCTCATCTTCAGTTAACTAGCCAATAAGAGCATGGCAACAAAAAAACATGCTGCCTCAATATGAATCCATGTATAAAACAGCATTTCATTAACTAAAGAATTCCAAACAAATCAGGCCGCATAATAACCAGATGGAATTGGGAAACAGTCTGGGAATGTGCTCCCCCTTTTTTCCAGGGTCTGAAACCAGGGAAAACTGGGCCTCTTTCCCAACCTGGTGCCAGGCTTCCTTTTCAGTGTGGATGGAGACGCACATGTTGTTCACTGCTCACACTCATTACTTCACATTTGTATTCAGGTGATTCTCCTCCAGCGTCATTAAGAACCATTTATGATAATCTGCAAGGAGCTCATCTAACATTGTACCGATCATTGAGCTCAATGGAACTGCTGAACTGACCTTGGTTGCAGCAGAAATGCCCGTGTCAGCTAGTGATTATAGAAAAAGAAAGATCCCTTTTTTTGTGATCAATTAATTGGCAGTACATGAAAGAATGTCTTTGTTACCTAAATAAAGATAAATAGATAAAACAAAATCAACAACACCAAGATTCAAGCAGTATTGTAGTATTGCTTTTGAACTGATAGTTTGACATTTTGCAAAACAAGCTTATTCACTTTCCCCAGAAAGATTATTACCTCCAAAATAATGTTCTGGTTTTTGTAAGGGCACAGTCGGCTATCAGTTAGCTTAGCTTAGCATAAATAAAAAGGGAAAACAACTATCCTGGCTCCATCTTAACAACACTAAATCAGCTATCATCTCAAAACTTAAAAACTGTTAGTACAGCATCTGAATGAAAAAACTGAAGTTTGACACTGTACTGGTTTCGATGTGTACCCAAGGAAGAATAGTTTAGCTCCACGCTACAGCTAATGGGGATCCTAACAAATCAACAAATAAACAAATGGTCAGGGTTTCATGACCTAGACTACTTAATAACTTTCTGGAGTCTATGCTGGTTGCATAGCAAACTGTAAAATAAACTAATGGAAGGGAAAAGAAATAGTCCCACATATTAACTCCAGATTTCCACAGCTTGTTTGTTTTACACTTTTGTATTTGTATGGTTTTAAGACACAACGTGTTTTGTTCGTTAAAGAGCTTTAGAGGTGCTTGAAGTTAGATCATTAATTGACCTTTGGAAAGAGCACAGCTAGTCATTGTGCCAGGCAGATCAGCTCTGGATTTATTTTTGTAAAACCAGCATTAGAGAGGTTTCAAAGTTCCCATTTAACTGTGAGGACAAAAAATAAATTTGTTATTTTGAGAACTTTTTCATGTTAAAAAATGCCAATAGAGGCATTGAATTGTTTCAAATCAAACAGATAAAATGTTCAAGATTGAAAGAACAACAATCTGACTTCAGAAATATCTTGAGCGCTGGTAAAACTATTAGTCCTCCTGACAAGCAAATTGTACACAGTATACAGGCTACTTAAACTGTTACACATGCTCTCACACACACTGAAAACATCACTGAGAAAGAAAAGACAGAAAATGCTCCAACTGAAGCTAGAAAATAAATGTCTCAATCAACAGTCAGCTTCCTACTCATCAGTCACTGTGTTGCATATATACATACATATAGACATTCCTTCATTGTTGTATATTATCCTCTGGTAAACATCCATTGTTAGGGTATTTTTTCAAACACACTCCCACGGAGTTTAAGTTAATTATTATCACCTTCTATTGTGATCCCTTAATAATCCCACTTTGCCATAACTGTTGATGTTTTTGCTCAAACAGCCCTGCTGTTGTTTATCATTTTCTAATTTATCCGTGGATAACTTTGAAGTAGGACTAAGCCTCGCAGAAGTCGTCTTTGAAGCCAGGGCCAAGTCTTCAGGTCCAGTGTCTGACTCTGATTTAAACAGCAGAGGATCTGGATTGAACTCAGTCTTACACAAACATGAAGGGCAGGTTTCTTATTAGGCTTTTCAAACCCCACATGTCGAACAGTGGACAGAGTTGATGAAAAATGTTGAAGCCAGTGGATGTGGTCTAATATGGAGGAATCAATGGAAAGACTAGTGAGGGGAGGAGACATTAAGGAATCAGCTGGATTTGAAGTGGAACTGAGAGAGTCTGTGAGGAGATATAACCTCACTTCACATGTCCCATATATATGGGCTCGCCTCATTTAGTAGACAGCTAGCTCGAGCCGATTCCTTTATATAAATCGCTCTTGCTTTTAATAGATCTTAGGGAGCTTTACTCATCAGTGATTCATGAAATTAATGTCCCTTTTTCCAGTGATTAATAACTAATGGGGCCGAGAGAAGCCAAATTCATTAATTATGAAATGGAGAAAATTAGCTCTGCAAATATCACTTTTGATAGATGAGTTCTGGAATAGCAGCCAAGCACAGAGCCGCAGTGTAGATTATAAACCACTCACTACTGCCTTACTGGAAAAAAGAAATCTCCCCCAGCTCTCTGTGCTTTACATGGAAGTAAGCATATGTTTTACTGCAACGCACACTCCATCCAAGCTAACTTATGTTCACCTCTAAAAGGATGAATACTGTGAAAGATACTGTAAACTTTAGCATTACTTATGCAATCACATAACTAACACTGTAAACTTTCAACTTCCCTCTGCAGCATGCAACTGTAACCTCCACGCCCGCCGCTGTCGATTCAACATGGAGTTGTATAAGCTGTCAGGGAGGAAGAGTGGAGGGGTCTGCATGAACTGCCGCCATAACACCGCAGGCCGCCACTGCCATTACTGCAAGGAGGGCTTTTACAGAGACTTGGCCAGACCTATCACTCACCGACGAGCCTGCAAGGGTAAGAATCCAAAATGATGCTGTAAAGTGCACTATTTATATAACTTTATGTAATAGTTGTTTTCTACTTTTTTTTACCTTTTCTTAAAATAAACTTCAAGGGTGATGAGGTCATTTCTATTTCTATTCATTACGTTGTGTTGAAAGTATTTTTCTAGGAATTAATTACCGACCACTCTGTTTAAAATCATGCTTTTGTTTAATATCAGTCAGTAATAGATTAGTAGTATTAACATTTGTTTGTATGAAAATGTCATGGATTTTGACTTCACGCTCGGTTGACGTTTCGTTTCCCCTAAATGTTTACACTTTTTTCAAACAAAACCCAAGTGAGATATTTTAACCCGAGTAATTCTTGTGCAACCGTGTCATTTCCAAGAGTCTTTTAAAAGTGATGAGTTATGATTGGAAACATGCATGATCATGGTTACTTCCAATAAAGAACATGCCCTACCATTAGAGAAATTAACTGTCACTATGCCCATCCCGTCGCATGTTTCCCCCCAATACCACACACCACATCATATCACTTGTCCAAGGCATTTCTCCTGAAAAAATATATTTCCACTCTTGACTTTTTTTTCACATTTGCGGTGAATATCTTTCAGCCTGATGTTATGCTGAGAACATTTATCTTCTCTTGCTGGACTCATTGCAAAAACAACACAAGTATCCTGTATTCAAATCAACAGTCTACTGTTGCTCCTGATGAAGGTAAAGAATCACATCCAGAACATGAAAAAAAAGGGCACTATAGCGAGAGCTGCCAGGGCTGACAGCCGTGAAGATCTTTTGGTTGAGATTTCATGGCGAGAATCTCCCACTGGCTTCCGCTCAGTTTTCCTTCTGCAGCCGACCCAAGTTGTAACAGAACACCGGGAGGTTAGAACCGGCACGATATTAGTTGCACGGAGAAAAAAATCAATTCATCATGTAACAGCACACACTCTACAGTGACTTGGTCGCATACTTTAAAAGTTAAGTCATTTGACCCGTTACTGCACAACACTGAAAGATAGCCTCCACTGGAGATCCGTTCTGAGATGTGTGTTCTCATGCGCAAATTTGTTCCCTCATCTTCCATTTCCTGCTTAATCTGTGTGTGTGTGATGCTTTCACACAAACACATGGCTCTGACACTGCAATTTGTCCTTATCAAAGACTGGAGATCAAGTGGTAAACAGTTTATCTCCTCCTTCACAAAAGGCCCCAGATGTGACGGAAATGAAAGTTAACATCCAAAAAGCCTCCGCTGAGCTGCTGGCTCTGTGATTGATCAGAGCAATTCCACAGCCACCCAGGAGCCGTCATCCTCCTTTGACTCAACCTTTGCTCACTGTTTTTCTTCTCCAACTTCTCCATCTCCCATGATTGTTTATAACCACCATCTCCTCTTCCTCCTCAATGTCTGGTTTCTTTCTCCGTGGCTATGAGCCTCTAAACCTCTCGTCTTCTTGTCTTCTTCTTGAGTTTTGATCTGCTCGCTGTTTTATCTCCACGTGTCGGGGTCAAGATGGAGGTCACAGGTGTGGTATGGCTGCAGAGGGGGCTTGAGTGTCAGGTCTGAAATAAGTTTACAACAATAAAATACAGGTGTTTCTAAAGACAGGATCAGGGGGTGGGGGGGGAGCTTTAACAACAACAACAGTAGAATTAAAGAAACATGGCGATCATCACACAGCCTGACTGCAGAATATTAGGCTTTCAAATTAATGTTTTGGTTGGGTTTTTTTTATCCAAAGTTGCACAGCTGACATTAAAAGTGAGGCCATGGTCCATGTGAAGTAGAGCTGGCCAAATCACACCAAACTGGCTGTGCGTTTTAAATATATTAAATATATATTTAAATATATCAATATTAAATATGTGTTTAAAATCAGATAGGTAGGCTGTAAATATTTATCTACTTATAGTTTGCTACTTGATTACAAGGCTACATTTTCTGGAGAAAAAGATGATTTTCTGGCACAAACCTCACCAATTGACAAGGTGCATGAAGAGTGAAAGGCTTAGAAGAGGTCAAAATGCTCCAGCAACACTTGAAGTAAGATAAACTTTTTAAACAATTTAGACCAAAATTTAGGTCTCAATTTAAACTAAGTTAATAAAGTTGATCTTCTTACTACAAGGCTACATTTTCTGACAGCGTGTGTAACGGATACTGGACAGTCTGTAAAATATATGTGGGCTTGATGGTTCGTGGTACTTGGTTATGTTTGACGATCATCTAAAAAAAAAAAAAAAATCTAGCTTCTACTTATGTGCAGCGGGTCGAGATGTGTTAATGTGAGTATTAGAGAGTGCATGCATGAAGACAAGCTTGGGGTCAGTCCAAAAATAAACTCAAACTCCAGATTGTAGAGAAACACGTATGCTGCTCTGTCTGACAGGATGATCAGACTTCTTCTTTGATTACTTTGATTATGTTAAAAACCTCAAGGTGTGCTTTAAATGCTGTTCCCACCGATGACTCCTTCAGCGTTGAGAGTGCAGGATTAAAGTGAATGTTAAAAAGCTTTCTCCAACAACGGGATCAAAACAAACTAACCTATCCAAATATGTGTCACTAGCAAATAAATGCAGACAGAGCAGTCCTCTTAAGTACTTTAGACCGCTTCACACTCACACATGCAAAGAACAACACAAATCAGTTTTAAGTGAATAAACGTCTGTCTAAGGACTACAAATCCCAACACTCTGCCTGTCAGGTCTGCAGGCGTAAAGGCTTGAAAAGTCATCAACCTCTGAGGACGTTTTTACTACTTCTTAACCGGCCAGAGCCCCTGCACATAAAACTTCAGAAAAGCAGTTCTCTGAGGAAGGCTAGGGGTGGAGATTGACACCACCACCCCCCGTCCCCCCGTCCCCATCACGCAGCCTACAGGCCTTTCAGATCTGGCAGTTGTTGGTTGTTTACTGAACAACATGAACATTGGCAGTAAACTCCCGTGATGGTTAAGAAGGGAATTTCATCTTGTTCTTATTGAACGGTTGAGTTGATAACTTGTGCAACTCAGTGATCAGCCTGGAAACAGTGGCCACATGTCTCTGCAGGCATGACAGACCAACTCCAGACTGGTATTAGACAGATCAGGTAATAGGGGGTTTAGCTTGGGAACCATCCTTCCACAGGCAGAAATAAACCTCACCATCAGCTAAGGCTTATTTTATTTTGATAACAAGCTTGTTCATTTCATCATCTTTAAGTTTAAAATTAATATAGATGTTATATGTATTATAATACAAGTGTGTTCATGCATAAATCAGCTGTTCTAAAGGAACAAAACTCCAGGAACTGAAGACATCCTTGATCCATTAGAAACGTAGTTCTCTGGTCATATGAAAGGTAGGATATAGATCTCAGTCCTGCTTCTTACCCTGTCATATGCAGATGTGTTTTTGATTTAGGTTAGTCAGAAACTCTTAAAAAGTGCCCTCAAAGCTAAAGTTTCCTAGTTGGGCTTGCGTGACTCAAGTGGTGGGGATTTTGCACGGACGCTGAAGCATCAGATTTACATCTCAGCTTCAAACAGAGCGCAGCCACTTTGACACCTGTAGACTGGTTGGCCTTGCCGGAAAAGCCAAAACCTATTTCTGAAGATCTGAGCTGCAGTTAATCCCCTTCCCACCCTGCCGCCAGACACACACGATCACTGTTGGGTCAGTTTCAGCCGTTTAAAGCCTCCCTTTGCCCCGTCAACAGGTGGCAGGGTCCTCAGGCTCCCCTCTGTTGTAAGAGCTAAAAAATGCCCGGTGCAAATAAACACATTCACAGTTCCGTCAAGTGGCTGGAAGGAACCATGACATGTTAGCAGCTGCCTTTCTCTGGCAAGTTACAAACTGTTGGGTTACAGGGTTTTTCCCCAAAGTGTAATTTTGGGCGTTCTTGTCTTTTCTTGATAATCTTGGCAGTTACAGCTATCATGTAACAGTCAAGTCACTTTGAGTTTTCTTTTGAAAATGTGGTGTTGTCTTTGCCTGTTTTCCCTTTTTCAAAACAAGACAAAATGGTTGGATGTTAACCCTGCATTTAATTATTTCGGTGGCATGCGAGACGAAAGGATCCTTTTTGTACTCTAACTTGTTTTAGTCTGGACAGAAAATGTGGAAAGTGAAATGGAACCAATCAATAACACTGCACAAGACAATACAAACGTCTTCGATTTGTTTTCATATGTCACTTATGTGATTGTTTAGCTAGAATGCTTTAAAATGTTAAGTATGTGTTTATTACTTAAAAGTACAAATGTCTGTTTTAATAGCCGAGTCAGAGAAACCGCAGTTTGGTTTGATTTATTGTTATTTATTCTGGAGGCTCTGTTTGGTCTATACCAACGCACTGTCTCTCGCTCTCTCCCCCTTTCTCACTCTCAGATGCGTTGCTTCACCCTCTCCCCGTCATCCTCTTCAACATCTTGTAAAACTCTTAGAAGGCTTTGCACCAACACGCCAGCTCATGTATTTAACAGCTTTTAAAACAAAACAAATCCTCATGTTGCTTCAGAGGACTTAAATAAATGACATGCAGTATCAAAAGAAAAAGTCAAAAGATTTTCCAAGTGAGCGGAGTGTAGACTTGTTAATGTTGGCATTTGTTGGGCATGGATAGAACTTTCAGTCAGTTAGAAACCAGCAGAGCATGTGTCCCCAGGCCGGCACAGTAGTAAAGAGAGTAGAGGAAAACATGGAGACAAGATGCTGAACTGTGTCTCCTTTTTCTTCATGTCATTCTGCCCTTCACTTACCATTTTGTATTTTTCCAACATTATTTGTCTCTCATCCACTAAATCACTCTTTTTGTCTTTCCCACACACAGATAATCAAATACAGATTTTCTTCGTTCAGTGTTCTAAGCAAAGCAGCAGGCAGGAAAACAATCGCTCAGACATCATTTGTATCTGTTTGCCATCATAAAACAGAAGATTACAAAGTTTAACCCAATAGCCCGCAGAAACAGTCATATCTAAAGAATGAGCCGATGTCTTGAGTGCACTTTTGGAAAAAGGAAATGATGAGATAATCATATCTAACAATTTCTTCCTCCTCTTTCTTGCATCACAACCCCTACCCCTTCCACACCTGTCTCCTACCCCCCCACACCAGCCTGTGACTGCCACCCTGTGGGTGCCGCTGGCAAGACGTGCAACCAGACCACGGGCCAGTGCCCCTGCAAGGACGGTGTCACCGGCATCACCTGCAACCGCTGTGCTAAGGGCTACCAGCAGAGCCGCTCACCTGTGGCTCCGTGCATCAGTGAGTGACTTACAAAGACATGCAAACACAACTACCACTCATTTGATATGTTACCTTAAACTGTCTTCAACCAGATCATTGTAATAGTGTGCGAGTAAGTCAACGTTCTTCCATTTGGGATTACTGAACTGAAAAAAGTTTTGATCTACACTAGAATCATACAATCTACGGAGCAAAATTGGAAGCACACGTCGCTGTTGCCTAAAGTCAATTTGGGATTTAGACAGGCATTACCATTTACCAATCTCTGCTCTGCATATACACATGTTCTTTAAATCTCCACTGAAAATGAAATGATCATTTCAGAGGGGAAACATGTGGGCTTGTATGTAAGGTCAGGCTTAACTGTAAAGTGATGTTTACTGTCTAGACCTTCTCTTTTTGTAGTGCCTTGAGATAACATTTGTGATTAATTGACAATATAAAAGTAGAAATGGATTCATTGATTGATTTAAACTGCAAGTCATTCTAGAGCTGGAAATGGGTGAACGTGCTTATTGTTCTTCAACCCGTCAATGCTGTTAAATAAGTGTGTTCATTAGTTGCTGTTGTAGCATATCTTCTACATCAGGTTTTTAATTTCCTGGGAAGCGGATGTGTGTAGTTTATGTTGATTATGAAACTTCCCAGTGGCCCAAGCATATGCAGGCATGTGTAAATGAGGGCTACTTTCCACTACGCTGTGTGCCGGGCAAAATGCGGGCACACATTGCTCAAACTCACAGGACAACCTCCACCAAAGCAAACCGTGTGGCCCAATGCTATACTGAGCTGTGCCATACTGTGCCACATGCTGCCATGTTGTTTCACACACACATGAGGCTCCCAGACCAGATGGTGGACGGGCGAAAAGGAGAAATCATCTGTGGTCATGGATGGCAAACCCCAACTCCTTTGAGTCCCACTGAAGCATCCGGTGAGAGTAGGACGGGTTGTGAATATGCATTCAAGTACATGTGCAAATCTGGATCCATGACAAATTGTATTAATATAAACTGTGTGTGTCAATATGGCATCATGGTGGACTTCCCATATCCTCTTGGGTCTCCTGGACCGTAACAGAAGATAAGCCCATTAAGCAGCCAATTAGCATCACGTCAGCAACCCTCATCTGAGAGATTCTTTCATCATCTGTTGATCTCCACAGATGTGGCCATGATGACACACTGACTCAAAGTGGCTTCTAGCAGCTGTGCCTGCCTCCAGAAAGCTCCAAGCCCTTGTTTGTTTTTGTTGGCGGGGTGTCCATAATTTCAGAGAGACAACTGCTGCTTATGCCTAAAAACAGCTTTCCAACCCCCCCCCCCCACACACACACACACACACACACACACACTCCCACTCACTTGTTTCAAACCTTCAACCTCCAAATCCAATCAAAAGCAGATCCTTTGGGTGGATGCTAAGCCGGAGTTCCAGCAAGTCTTTTTACGGTAAAGCAGAGGAGCCGTCGTTGGCATTAGCATTTGTATTGGAGAGTTGCATACGATTAGAAGAGATGTCCTGGAGGAATTCCACAAGGCACTTTTTAGAGTAGCCAGCGGGCACAGCGAGGGAGGGCTGCATCTGTCTCAAGATGATCCAACCAAAATTGCCCTTTTGCCATCTGTCCATCTGTCTATGCATCCCTGTATGGAGATTACACAGCAGAGTTAACCCGGCATCTGTTTGGGGAGGACAAGACTAATCTAGTGCAGCCTCTTTTTTTCATTTTAATGTGTGTGCCTCAAAGAGTCTTTCTCTGACTCAGATGTGCCCTCTTTGAATCAGTTGACCTAACCAAATTGTGTGGTGAATTTGTGGTTTATTTACTGAGTTTGACTAAAAACTTAAATGTGGTCCTCTGATCTTTGAGGGTCTGGTCTTCAATGTATGATCTCTCAATGTATTTCTTAGAAACAACGGTGAAACCACCAAATTAGTCTAAGGAATGCATGGTTTATATGAGCCTGTCTTCCCTCTAACCACCAATAAGCTTAACTGTCAGTCTGTCAGTGTTTATCTAGTATATCTGTCTGTGTTGTACCATGTGTTTAACATGCATAATTGACACATGTCACAGTCCAGGCCCACTGTATGACAAGCCTGGCATTCCCTCTTACTGGCCTTGGTGAGCTAAGAAACTTTTCTCACACTTAGCTTGAGCCTCTTTTGTGGCTGTATAAATGTATTCATAAAACATTCCCATACCCGCTCTCTCAATGGCTTTTGACATACTTCCATTCTTGACGACACGTATGCAAGCAAAGTCAAACTTTTGCCGGTGCTTCCTAATTTACTGTACGTAGTTTCTAAATATGCTGCACATTTTTCTTCATGTCCTTTCGGCTATTTCCGAGTGTATGCAACTGTCGGCCTCTCTACACATGCATTTTTGGCAGGAATATGGTCAATTAGTTACATCATATTTGAAGGTATGGATTCACATTTGACCACAGAAATAACTTGGTATTTTTTGTGTTTTTTTCCAGAAATCCCCGTGGTCAACCCTACAGCTGTGGTGAGCAGCACAGAGGAACCAGCAGGTTAGTAAACGCTTTCTGCACCTCGCCCATTAGCAACACGGCTTTATGAGAGGAACAAAAACAAATTTTTTCATATTTTTGGACTGGAGTTTGAGGTGTGGAATAAATATTAATGAAGGGTGGGTCCCTCCTTTTGAAGTTCTGCTAGGAGAACGAGGGCACTGGGGCCTGCAGAATTTCCATTGTCTAACAAACCTGCGTCCTTGGCGCAGTTTCCCCAGCTGCAAACCTCAAGTCAGTGGAGGCTCACTGTGCTCAAAGTAAAACTTAAAGACAAGGCCAGCAGACAGACGGCAGAGGTGATAAGTTCAGCTGGGAGATAGAGTGGAAGGGAGAGTTTTGAGGTGTGAAAAGAGTTGCTGGCAAGTGACAGGGAAAATTCTCTCCTTCTTATCGTCCAATTTAGGCTCCAGTCAAATACCCTATCCTTATTTTTCATTCTGCGTCTCTTTGATTTAGATACTGGTGAGTATTTGGAAATGTTGATTCATTAGTGAGTTTATAACATAACTTAATGCTGTAACTCCCAAATTTGCCAATGACACTTTAGTGCACTTTGCAATGCATAGTTTTTCTGTTTTCATAAAGCTGTCACTTTAAAAAAAAAAATCTACTTTATTCAGTTGTTTCTTTTTGCATTTCTCTTAGTCTGTTTCCACTGATTACTTTGGCCACTCAGGCTTTAAAAAAAAAAAAAGATATATATATATATATATATATATTTATGTAAAATCACATTCTAGTCTTTTCTTGTTTCCTACCTCCATGGGAAAATGTTGCAGGGTCCTAGAAAACAAGAGTTGTTGATCGCCAATTCACCTCAGACTCAAGTGCATTTCCCCCATCCTTCTTCTTCCTAAACTACCAAAGAATGGGCAATGCCATTAGCAACCCAGATCCCCAAAATGTTTTGTGAAAGGGGTGGTGGATGCAATTTGTCCTTGTCGTAGCACAGTGAGAGGGTTTGACAATTGTGAATGTTTTCATTGGGCTGGTCTTCTGGGTCAGTGGGCGATTGACCGAGAGCTTTTCCAGGTGAACAGCCAGCAGTGAGTGAGTTTTCATGGGAAACACACACACACACACACACACACACACACACACACACACACACACACACACACACACACACACACACACACACACACACACACACACACACACACACACACACACACACACACACACAAACAGTCTCCTCACCAGCAGTTCCTCAGAGATACCTTCAGGCCAGCCACTGTATACCACACACAAGCACACTGAGGCAGTAATGAAACCCATGCACATCTCATGCTAATGCATGCCTGTCACAGTTGCTTGCACACTTGCATGATAATAATCTGCACATGAAACCACATGCTCACTTAAAATACAAAAGATAGCAAGTTGTGAGACCTAGCATCATTTCTGATAGTTTTCAGTAATGGGTAATACACACAAATCCATCCACACGTTCACCTCAACATCTGTCAACATCTACACCTCGGCTCATAGTTTTCCTTTTAAAGTCACCCAGGTTATTGGAAGCTGCCATCTGCTCTCCCTTTCGTTCCTCTTCCCTCCACTCTCAGGCTAATAAAATCTCTAGCGCTCTGATATACAGCCAAGCCTCCTGGACATTTTTATGGGCTTCTTGGTCCCCTGTTTCTCTCTCCTATTGCCCTCCTTCCATTTCCTTCCCCCAAAAAATGAATGATACAACACTCCCACTCTCATGCAACCCCAAAAGCAAAATTTCTCGCTCACATGATTTTTTTTCTTCTAATTGGGGCGTTTCATATCCAGCATATTTATTCGGTTTTCTTCAGGAAGCAACACAACTGAACCGTTTTCCTTTTGAAGGCAATGAGAGAAGTCTTACCACAGATACCAGTCCAGTGAGCAGCATGTGGTTTTTCAGTTTCATGCCCTGACATTCCAAGCATGGTCAGCTTTTCATGTCCCCTCACTAAAACCAACTAGAAACATGTTCAAGAAATGGCCGTCTTGGCCTTCTCTTACATTTCAGTCAATCATTTTTATTTTTCCTTAACCTTGTGTCCTTCTATTAGTTTTGAAATTGAATTAAGTATATCCAAAATTCCACGCACCATAAAATCCAGTGGCATCAAGTACAGTAGAGCCGTGCTAATGATCAACGCCTTTTTCTTTTTTGATACGGCTCCAGTAGCATTAGATATCAGGAATATTCCAAGAGTAACAGCACAGTTTTTATAATTTAATTGAATTTGATGCCAAACCTGAAGATATTATTTTATTTTATGAAGTTTCTTAATTTTGCCTTTCTTTGTTCCCAGTTTATTCTGCTCTAAGATCATAGAAACATGTTTCATAATCACAGAGAGGCAAAGCTTTTAATGGAGAAAAATAATATTCCAGTATCGTGAGCAACAAATCATGGGGAATTATCACATGCTTCTGCTCTATGTGAATAAATGTTACACTTTGTTGGTGCTTATAAAAAAGAACAGTACACTGTATTTTTTAAGCATTAATGTCCCAAATAATTGTGTTATTTTTTATTTAAAAAGGTAAATCTTTGAAAACTCGTAGATAATTGACATCTTCACCAATCCATGTTAGTCAAGAGGAACTCTCAGATGGGTCACTCAACTTAAACTGTCACAATGTGAATTCTAACACCTCATCACTGGTGGCTCCACCTATGAGTGGTCAACAGAGGTCATCTATCCAATGTGTGGTCCCAGTCTTCACGCTGGCAGCCAAGGTCTACTCACATACATCCAACCATGACCCGCTTCCAGCATGCTCTGTCTTTCTTCAGAATCCCAGAAAACATGTCAAACTGAACACTTTTACTACTCTGGTATGTTTCACTCGCCTCCCAGAACCGGCTGTTGCAACGGTTTGTTGTGTGATTTGTCAGAAGTTATATTTTAGCACATAAAAACCAAACAAGCTTAGAGCACTTCACGATCTGTTTCAGCTCCTCGTAGCCTTTGGTTTTATTTGTGGATAAGTAGATGTGAGGACAATTTTGAATAAGTAACTGCTATAAAGTTATGGAAAAAGAACACATATAATCTAAAACATATTCAAGGGACACATGCCTTAGAGGAACTGTGTGTTTCAAAATTAAGAACAATGTGTTTTATTTTTGAAGCTGTTGAGTGTTTGTTGGTGGTTTCAAAGTATCTGACAATTTCCATTGATCTGTCACACAGTCTTTACTGCTTGCTAACTACATCTTACTACAGCAACCCATAATGCACAATGAAATGGTGTAAAATGAAACGGTGTAAAATAAAACGGTGTAAAATGAAATGGTGCAGAATGAGCCTTAAAAGGAAACAATTCTGATTTCAAGTGTGTAAGTGTCCCATTATGTGTGTCATTTGAGGGTTGTCAAGAACATCCATGAAGTAACAGATGAGTTCATGTTTTCTCTTCGTTTGCTGTTGTTATTTTACAGACTGTGAGACCTATTGTAAACCAGTGAAGGGCAATCTGAAGATCAACATGAAGAAATATTGCAAGAAGGATTATGGTAAAGGAAGAAATAATTATCAAGTGTGATTTTTTAAATAAAAACAATGTGTTGGGAGTATTGAACTGAGTGTATTTTTATGAATGTTTCCTCAGCTGTCCAAGTGAATGTGCTCGACATGGAGACCGTGGGGGACTGGGCCAAATTCTCAGTGAATGTGGTGTCGGTGTACAAGAGTCGTGGCGAGCCCTTAAAGCGAGGAGACAACATCCTGTGGGTGCACATGAAAGACCTCGCCTGCAAATGTCCCAAAATCCAGATGAGCAAACGCTTCTTGGTGATGGGCGGCAGTGACGGCGGAACAGGCCCAGGAGTGGGTCCAGGTGTTGGACCTGGCGCTGGTGCAGCCAGTCCAGGTGCAGAGCGTGTGGGCCTTGTGGCTGATAAGAACAGCCTGGTGATCCAGTGGAGGGACGTTTGGACGAGACGCTTGAGGAAGTTCCAGCGCAAAGAGAAGAAGGGAAAGTGCAGCAAAGCGTGATGGGAAAGCAGTTGATCCCTACCTCTCCCTCCATCATAAACCTTTACCACCCCCCGAACCCCTTCTTTTCCCATTTGAATCCTCTGTTTCCACCATCATGGGAACTCTGCACATTAGAAAGACTGCATGTACCCTACCTGATTTAAGGACCACGTTTTGTGTATATTGTATAATTATTTTCCTTCTTATTTTTCAAGTATTGACTTTGTAATGTCTTTTTTGACAATTGGTTTGCCTTAAAAAGGGACCATTAAAAAGGGTATGAAGTGTAAAAGCAAACGCCATTCCCTCTGCGACGACAGCGGAAATGTCCACTCGTCCACCATCTCCAATCCCCTGACCCTCCGCTTCCTCTTCCTCCTGTCATACTGACTGTCTCCTGCCACTTTGTTTGACACATAATGTAAGCGCTCACACTTCACATGCATCTCTGAGGATTTTATTCGACAGTGTTTGCAACTTCGGAGACTGGCTGGTTTCAACAAAAGACAAGCTGCATCTCCTCAGCTAGGCCTCATCGCGTTTCACTTTTGAAACAAACACAGCTTGGATCAGAATCACCTGACAAGCTTTCAACATTTGCTGTTAAAATGTTCTGTGCTGTTCACAAATGGGCCTACTTGTTCCAGGTCTCTGCAGTAACTTCTACAGACTGTTACTTTAAAACTGTTGTCCCGTGTGGAACCAAGGGCTCCCTTTGCAGGGACATTTTCCACAGCAAACCTCAGTCTCACCACCACTGCTGCTGCCACCAAACATCCCTCACAGAATAAACTGCTCATGTAGGCCGTTATATCTGCAACGTTTTGATGCCACTGCTCATATTACAGTTTGTATTCGTCAAGTGTTTTATCACATCCATCCATATCCTTATTTGAGATATATCTTGTTTTATCTTAAGCAGGATAAACCCTGTTAGCATCATGAGTCACATTCCAGCCCTCCGGGGTTGTGCCTCTTCACCACCAGTCCCTCTCACCAGTGGTTTGTAAAGTCATGCATCACCATCATGACTCTTTGCTTGTCACATTTTATGGAAGACAGATTAAGCGTTGTGGACAAATGGCTGGAACTTCAGAACAATACCAATATTTCCAAGGAGACATTTCGCTTTATGGATAATGTCTCCGCCCTCTAGATGTTGCTGTGTGGCCAATGTCGTGACTTTGTATTTAAATGTCTGAACATTTTCCTGATGTGTCCAGTGACTGGCAGGCTTTTGTTTGCCAAAATAAGAAACTGAAACAAGAGTTCCTTTTCATGCAGTAAAAAGAAAACCAAGGCGGATAAACAACATAGTTGTGTTTTTCTCGAGCATATTTTGACAAAATGAATGAGGCTGGAAAGTTTTTAGTGCTCACTGATTGTATTCTGACATGAGAGGATCATATAACATTCCTCATGTGCTTTGTTATGTTTGCATGTTTGTGGGTTTTTACTGGTCCATCAAAACCTGACAGTGAGCAGACTAAGACCTTAAAACCAATATGAGCATTGAGATCCAAAGGAAAACCTCCCAAATCATCTTCCCCCCACTTGCCTACCCTAACACAGTCCTTGTCATCCTTTGCCAAATAAGCATAGTCAGTTTTTGAATTCAATTAAGACACTATGGAAGTCAAGACCAACTGAAACCACAGAGAGACCCGTCTGGTTGCTCTCAACCTTTTTATCTGCCTGTTGCTGTTATTTCATTTTGTAAAGCACATTACAATTTATTTAAATAGAGTACAAGATAAACACAGAGTTTTGAGGGGCGTATCAAGCCAGCGTAGAAGTGAGTGTGCCGGCAGGCATGTCAAGCTAGTTTGTGGTTATGCTCCTCTGGCTGCGGTGGTATGTTTGGTTTGTCATCCATCCAAAAATGTCTCTCTTCTGCACTCTTCTCTGTCAGCCACCTCCTCAAACGTTCTCTTTAACCCTTTGTGCATGTTGTGTATTCAGTGTTTTAGATAAGTGGCAGCTCAGAACGAGGCTGCCAGAACTCTTCAGTGGTGTACTGTACTGCACTGTACTTCTTGTTTTCCCATCTTCCCAGAATGTATGTCAAACTGTGAAGAACACACTCATGCAGGTGTATGGTCTGAATGTTTTTGTAAAATACTGTCACCAAGCTTAAGAATGTGGACATCATGACATCTGCTGATGTTATAAACTATGAACAGGTTTAGATGTTGTTGACAGACTGATGATATTCATGTTTTTTTGTCCAATATTGACACTTTTATAATCTAATCCAAAAACAACCATGTAACCAAAATGAGTTATCACCCACTGTGATTTCTGGTGTGAACACAACCTTTTTTGATACGTCAAAATTCCCACGGTTGGAATACCACAAAAATGCAGAACCAAATAGTCAATCATTTGTGCGTTGGCTGTATTATCCGGCCTGTCAGACAGGTGGTGTGACAGTAGCACCAGTGTCCTTGTCATGGTATGTATAGTGTGCCACATTATGATAGATAAGTCTGAGGCCTCATCGGTGCTCAACACTCTTTAGGGTGTCACTGCAGTGTCCTTGAATCTGGACTTTCATGGAACGCACAAACTTCCTCTTTTCTTACTATTGGCTTGGTTTTCCTTTGGTGCCCACCCTGAATGTTTGAATGAAGATAAGAAGTGAGCCAGATGTTGTTCTGGGGGTGGAGGTGTAGTCTTGTGAAAGCTCTTTAGTGAGCCTCATAGGGAGAGCCGCCCTGTTGTTTTACCTTGCTTTGCCCAGCCACCTCCTTTTGTAGAATTTATAGCATTCACAGGTGTGTGTGTGTGTGTGTGTGTGTGTGTGTGTGTGTGTGTGTGTGTGTGTTTGTCTAATTAACCCTACCCAAGTAAACAAGTGATATGCACATGAACTCAGCATGCAGAGAGGGGAGATCACTCCTATTTGAAGGCAGCCTTTTTTTTCTTGCCACTCTTTATGGTTTGTATTACGAAAGATAAAGAACTGCCATCCACACCATCCTGGCCTGTTTATTTTTTTGTATGTTTCACTTTCATCATGCCGTCTTTGCATCCTGTTCATTAAGTCTTGACCCATTTTTTTATTGTTGTAAATATGTACTGAACTGCCTCTGCCAATCATGACTTGGCCCTGGATGAGTCACGTGTATGGATGTACAAACCAGATGATGTTGTATGGATGTAGAAACCAGAAACATATGCTTTTGTGATCACCACAAGAAGATGTGGTTCAAATATTACACAGAATGTAGTCCTTTTAGGATTTATGTTGTTTCCAGAAAACTACCGCCCAATTACAAATGACTGAGGAGAATCGAGTGAAAAATGTGACAGGACCCTTTCCAACAGGAGGAACCAACACAAAAATCCCACCCACCAATTTTTCTTTGAATGTCCTGAGAATTATCTTTCACTTACTTTCACAGAAATAGTCATCCAGCCTTCCTTTTGGAACAAAGGGATTCTTCCCTCATTTCAGCCCAGCCCTTCATTTCTGTTATATCAACGTTTTCCTTGTACATTTTCCTCCGAGGCAATGAACCACTGACTTTTTAATCTAAATGACAAAAAAATAAATTATTAGTTAATGAGCTGTGTGTTGTGTTGGTCATTTGTCTTTTTAATTAATTGATATGTGTGTGATCTCTATTGGAAAGTATGCTCATATACAGTGGGCAGTGCACTAGTGTTTCCACTCAAAGGGGCTGGATCGAGGTTTGAGGAGGAGCAGACGGGGTAGAGCGGCTCCCCTCCACTACGAACAGAGCAAGACCTAAAGCTCTGTAAATAAACAGTGAGGCAGAGGCACACACACTTGACTGTGTACCTCACCTCTGAGGAAACCCAACTCCAGAGTCAGCTCCAAAGCAGGAAACTCACTATTCTTTTTCTCTTCTTCCTTCTCCCCCCTGGCACCCCCCCACTCCTCTCTCACCTACAGTCTCCTCTCCTTATCTCCCCACCCTCTAACCAAACAGCCAGCTCCATCCATTCTCCTGAAGGTAAATTACAGGAAAGCGACCATTTATCATTTCTCTCCCCAGGCATGGCCATTCAGCCTTTGAGAGGATAGGTAGCTAAGATAGTCTACACACACACACACACACACACACACACACACACACACACACACACACACACACACACACACACACACACACACACACACACACACACACACACACACACACACACACAGGCATGCCATGTCTCTGCATCAAGCACACTCATTCCCAGCCTCCCATCACCTAACTATTCCCATTCAGTGACCATTATGCCAAAACAGCATGAATGGCAAACAGCCACATGGACAGTACAAATGCAGATTTGTGGTCTACTGAGAGATTCTGCAAAAGGTAGACTCAGTCAAACAAGGGCTGAGTCCATGTGAGCCTCTAACACAGACTGTAAGTGTGGGGGGGGGAATTACTTCATAAGATAGGATCTTTATTTCTCATATGAGCTTTTGGACATCTTGAACACATCATACACACTGTTTATTTAGCAGGTGTGTGTGTGTGTGTGTGTGTGTGTGTGTGCACTGGCTGCTGTGTTGATTCACCAAACAAATGGGGCTTGTGCGTTTAAGGACTATATCTTCATTTTTTAGAGCAAACAACGTTCTGTAACAGATCTTGTTTGACTAAGTTTACAGCTACAGCAGGCTGCAGTATTCAGAATGTTAAGTTTCAGATTGATGCTCAACACAGCCACAAGCGGATTCCTGCATAATAAATGCAGATGAGATGAGATGAAACAGAGAAAAGTCAAAGCACTGTTTGAAACAAAGTAACCATACACAATTAAATATCAACACAGCAATGTTTCTGTGGGAAGATCTGCAAAAAAACGTTCTTACAAACATATTTAAGAGGCTGAATTGTCTTCCTATTTGTACAGCTGATCTCCAGGGAACATACATGTAATCCTTAAACACAGCTGACATTTTGTTCACCCAGACTCCACACAGGGATGTAGTGGCAGTACAAATGATCTCACACCAGGATGATACATATTCCATGGATCTGTGGATCTATTGGTAATGCTTTTTGGTAGTGACATGTTTTAATTTCAATGTACATGTGTGCTTCCACTGGCTCTGCTGCGCCCTCAGCTCTGGCAGCCCTCTGCAGCAGATACACAAGGCTTCTATTTCTGCTGGATGCCGGAGCACAGTGTTTCATCTTACCACAGAGCAGATCGTGAGGGACAGAAAGTAAAGACACCAAAACAACATTAAAACATCCGGTTTATTTTAAGAATAAAAACACTCAGTTTTCAATCAAAGACGAATGACCTTAAGTGTGTTTGATGTTGTGTTTATAAGGGTTTGATACGGTTTAATACCACATGCATTGTATCATCTAGCGCTGTCATGTGTGATTACCTCAGGAGCTCCTTGGTGTTGGGGCTCCAGATGTCCAGCGTTGTTGTTCTGTGTTGTGCCTGTGAGTGTTGATGGATGAGGGAGCACGATGCCGTACAGGAGCGGGTGCACACTTATCTGGTGGAGAAAGAAAGAAGACAATATTTGACGATAGTTGTACAGCGGTTACACTCTAAAGAACTAAAAAATAACTGATAAACGTGTTTGTATGCTGCTCTTTATCTGCACGCTGTGCTGGGATGTGTGTCCCGTGTATAGCAGCTGTACAGCCACAACACAGTCAGACCGTTCAAATTCAAAGGTCATCAAATACCTTTACATTTGTGAAATAATTTTTCAGTTTAGGGAAAATGCACTAGTAACATCGTCTGTGCAGATAAAGACACTAAACCACACTTCAACTGGATTATTAGTGATCATTTAGATGGAATATTTTGTCTATTCCCTTCTCAACCTGCCTTGCCTACTGTTAACAGTATTTCAGATGACTTATTTGTTTAGTGTCTTTTTCTGTACTTGCATTATGTGAATGTGATACTATTGGAAAGGTATCGTATCATGATCCATGTACCGTGAAACGTATCGTTACCCATGTATCGTGATACACATCGCATCATGAGCTCCTTGCCAATAATGGCCCTGATGGATAATGGTTTTCATTTCCTAAAGCTGTGTACAATGACAAATGACAAAGTGTGTTTTGGAAACAGCTTCAATGTTTGCAAAGAAGACCTGAGCTCTGGGGAGTGACTCGTCTGGGAGAGATCTGCTGCTCAAGTGTAGAAAAACAGCAGAACCAGCCAAATACTGTCAATTCTTCCCCCTCCCTATCCTTCTAACACTCACACACACATCCACACAAACACACACCACCCAGCGGCAGACGAGGGGGGCTTACCAACTGTGCTTTCATAAGCTGCCAAAGCGGCTTCATTGGCTTTAAATGGAGCCTCATTACCACTGTGCTTCAAAGCTCAACAACAGCGTTTTCCAGCATGGGGTAATAGTCTGTGTGTGTGTGTGTGTGTGTGTGTGACCCCTTCTTTTTCCAAATGTACTTCTTTTTTTTTTTATTATTGTATTTCTTGCCACATTCACAACTTTCCATTCTAATAATCTCTCTGACTTTATTCACCTTTTAATTTCATTTATCCCCCCATCTAGTCCCCCCTCAGTGACAGTGGATGTGTGAATATCTGAATGTCTCTGTGAACATTCTTATGAGTCACTGAGTGTGTGTGGGTCACCCAGTGCTACCCCCCTACCCCCCTTCCCACCTTTTGAAAACCGCAAAAAATGAGGCGAGAAATCTGTGTGGACCAGGATCATAAATATTCAGAGGTGAGGGTCTGATCTTCCTCTCTCTGCTGAATGTCTTTTCTTTGAGTGAAACCAGCTGCTGTCTGGAACTGACAACATGCGTGACAATGACCACACCTCTGTATGCACATCTGTCATTCTGCCTTCAATATCTCAATCCTTCCATTTTTCCATCATTCTAATAAAGTCAATTTCCCCCCAAATAGAATCGTCTTCTTTTTCCGCTCTTGATGGGCAAAACCCATCAATGAAACTGGCAAACAGTTTTCCAGACAGAAACACACAGTGTGGAGGATTGTAAAGGACCGTTGTTGCACAAAACTGGGATTCAGTGTTCCTTTGTTGGTCTTTTTTATTGGTGAAACAAGCTTTATTGGGCCAGTGAGTGATTGAAAATGAGCGAGGGATAGGGGGTAATTTAAAACTAGTGTGGTCCCTGATAGGAGCATTGTGCAGCACAAGCCTGCTCCTAATCTGCCCCTCAGCTTTCTGTCTGATTGGGTACTGTTGAAAATGGGGATGAGTCTGCCTCTTCAAAGCTTGTAACATAAGAGGAATTTGTGTGTGTGTGTGTGTGTGTGTGTGTGTGTGTGTGTGTGTGTGTGTGTATGTTGCTTACATATAAAGGTGATCACAAAAAGTGAATTGTTGAAAATAAATTACAACGATAAATTCATTATTATAAGCACTTTGTGTGTTCACTCACTCATTAGGTCACATTGCTATGGCTTTAACTTAGGAATTATAACCCTTGCCTTAAGGCACTGCAATTATGCAACTTTAATATTTGGCAGTGTTGTCATTGGTTGAAAATGCTTGACTTGATTGTGGCAGGCTAATTCGGTATCAAGCCTGGGGCAGGCTTCCAACCATGGAAACCAGACTTAACCCTATCCCCAACAAAAAGAGAGAGTTGGCTTTGATTTTGCCAAGACTTACAGTAAGGATAAAAAAAAATGTCAAAACGATCTTTCAGATCACAGTCTTTAAATCACACTTTTGTTGAACTGGATGAAATTTGGATAGGACTGAATCTGGTGTATAAAGTCTATTAATCATTTTTAAAAGGCAAATACTTCATCAACCAGGATTAATTGAATAAATAATCAAGGGAAATACTCACTGAACGATGTACAAAGAATCCTTCATTTAACATGTCAAATGCATTTACAATTAGAAAACATTATTCATTTATATTTTACATGTGATGACAGAGGATTGTTTCAGGAGTATCTATGCTAAGTTGGCTTTGTGCTTCACAGGTTTCCGTGCCAAACATTTGATTAAATATGCATATTTCATCAGTGAACCAACAGGCAAGCTTTGTTTCAAACAAATCTGACTTCTTTTTGGAATACAAACATGTAGTTTCTTCTATAAATGAGCAGAGAGGAACATGTTGTGAAGAGCCAGGGAGGAATAGGGTTGACAATAAGTCTTCAAAAGAATCTCTAGTTCTGGACAGTTTTATTTTACACAAGACCCTTTCAATAGTTTTCCAATGAAAACCCATTGTCAACATTTTCATATTCTCTTTCCACAATTTTTCATGCTCTGAAGTCTTCAATTGTTGCCAATAAAAAACTAGACCTTGTAAGAATGCTCTTCTTTCCTGAAGGATGAAGCCCTCTGTCAGGTCTCCACCCAAGGCTATACTGTACCGTACTGCATTAGGCTTGGCCGATCCACTTCAGGCCCCATCTGTTGGCATTTAGCACCAGCTTCTCCGCCTCTGCACTGATCTCCGGTCTACATTAACTGCCCTAATTTGTCTGCCAAAGCCCACTCTGATTGCTACCATGTGATGCTATGTGAAAGGTGAGGGATGCCTACTTATCTGTGAAGACCGATGGACAATAAAAGAATGGGGAGGGTTTAAAACAA